ACCTTTTTTTTTTGAATTGGCATGATGCGATTATGACGACATCATCTCATGGAAATTAAAAGTATCTGAATAGATTCTGTATCTGTTGATGCAGTTGCAATTGTGCTCATGAACTTGAATTTTATTGTCCCAGAGAAAATAATTTGTTTTTTTTTTCTAATTTGTTTATTGAATTTAAAGCAATGAAAACTGAACTCTTTGATTGCAGTTTTTTTAATTGCTTTTCTGATATTCGGATACTCATTGGATTGCGGCTACATTGCCTCGATTGCCTCGAATTCTGAATCAATTTTTAGTTGATATTGAACTTGTATATATTTTAAAATGAAAATTGTGAATGGTGACGTTGACTCATGAAAATTTTTGAAATATTATATAAAATTTTACTATACTTAACAAAAATTAAAAAATTTTGAAGTTTAAAATGCAGTAATATATACCATATGTTTTACGGATGTAAATAAATGTATTTAGTTTTTATGGCGAATTTTATATAAGCTTAGTAAAACATAATTTGTGATCCTTTTGATACATCAATAATATTCCTATCTGGGCCTCAATCGCTTTACCACTTACTTTTGTCTCTAGCTATGCACCCACTTTGCTTGCGGTAGCATTAGGGTTGTTGTTCTCCAGGTTTTCGCTTTAAATATTTTCTATGGTGTATATATCTGAGTACAGCTTTATAAATTCTCGTAGTTGATTTAAACTAGACAAACTCAACTTCAATTTTATTATACCTATGAGTAAAATACTTTGCCACAACAATTCTCTAATAATCCAGAAGTTCAACATTTATTCCACTTCTTTGTGGAATCCTACCAAAACAGTTTTTGAAATTGTTATTTTGTTAGTTTTGTATATTATAGTTCAGAGGTCTGATATAGAAAAACATATAGAAAATAATTATATATGTTTTGTTAGTATATATTAAGAGATTTGTAGAATTACCTTCTTTATTATGAGAATAAAATTTTACTTTACCTTATAATTTAGAAAACTAATCTTTAATCTAAAAGATATCTTATCTGCATTCACAGCGATTAAACCTAGGCATGGGTAAAAAATAACTAACCAGTTCTAGTATATTTTGGTGTATATTTTTTGTATATTATATTGTATATTATATACTGTATAGTATTTGTATATAATAGTTTATATAAAACAAATTATATATTTAAATATTCAAATGTTGAATACACGAGTACATATTTAAATGTTTACTCACTTAGAAAGATCGTGGTGCAATACTTCCTACTTCGGCGGTCATATCTACTTTAACACTAGCACTATGCAATATGAAAATGAAAAATATTCATATAATGTTAAAAAATGAAAGAAAAATACATTAAAAATAAAAATAAGAAGTAAGAATAAGAACTCTTGATTCTGTTGTAGGTATCTGGTGCTCGTTATAGGTGTATATGTTATATCTAAAAATGCTGAGAACCTTTTGGAACGCTAAAATAAATCAAAAATTAATATTAAAAATAATTAACAGGTTTTTGGTTATTATTGTTATTTTTGCAACTCCCTTCTTTTATGTGCTGTATACATAAAAAGAATACTCCAGTTCATTAAGTAATCTAGATCTTGAACATCGTTATTTAGAACTATTTTTGTAAACATGGATAACTCAAAGGTTTTCTAATAAGTTATCTCATAACAAACTGGACAAACGCAAACCGCTAATCAAGTTCTCAAATATAAATCACATCAAATGTATGTCCATAGTTTAGCTTAGTACTATAAGATCTGCTGAATTATTTAATTATTCCAGTATTCACATTAACTTCAATTGAATTGATTCATGGTAGTGCTTCATTAAAATTTTTAGACGCTTGATTTAGGTAAGACTTTATTTCCATCATTCCTTCACTTGCCTTTGGCTTCTTTTATGTGTCATTGTAGGTAGGTAGGTAGGTTATACCGGCGATCCCAAGGGATCCACTACCGTTATTTACCGTATATTTAAAAACTCGGAGGTTAGAACCACTTAAAACTATTGGCAAAGCTTATAATGCTATTGAAGAGGAGGTCTTGCAATTCAGCCCCTAAAGTAGTAAAGCACCTATAGTGTGCTGGACAAAAACAAATCAGATAGGAGGCACTTTCATCGTTCTCTCTACAACTGCGGCAGATATGATTAATAAGAGATTTAATTTTCTAGCATGGTTATTTAAAATGCAGTGACTTGTAAATAAACCTACCACAAGACTGATATCTCTACGGGTCATGTCCATGGGAGTTCCAGAGCTGGTAGATCTCCATATTAGTTTACAACAATAACTGTAGGTTAACAAGCGTTGTACTGGTGAAAAGCAGAGAATCTATATTAACATATGTGTTTGCTTGTGAGGACATCTATGTTACTTTGTGAACAGTCTGAATGTTTACTCTTTTTATGTTTGTAGACCTATGATATGTTTTAACTTTTGCAAAAAATACTTTAGGACACGTGCAGGTAATCGGTGAAGGAGATAATAGTACTTTAGTAAATAATATTATTTTTATTTATAACAAAAAATGTTATAAATTTATTGTTTTCATTGCTACTTTCATCCGTATATCAAAGCATTTACCCTGTTCTAATGCATATTTCTTTTAGAAAACTTTAATTATTGTAATAAGCTAGTTATATATCTTTTACTCCAGTATTTTATAATGCTTTAGTTATATAAATTGATAAATAATAGTTTAAGTGCATAATGTAGTCCTCATCAGTAAAACATGATTCCTTTATGCGACACTTTTAATTTCTCAATTATATTAGTAGATGGATTCTTTAAGATTCTTTAGGTACTTAACAGATTCTTATTTGCATTAACTCTTTCAATGGTTATATATTTTGCCTTACTTTCCCAACAATTTCTTGTTTAAGCATGAAGAATAGTTCACCAGGTTTTTAGAATTCGTAAAATAATCTACATACACCTGATCCAGTGCTATATAGATATTGCTTTATTAGTATAATTTTGATAAATTAATATATTATAAAGAGTACACCAAATAATTCAAAATAAATATATTCTGTCTATAATTATACAAAAACTGCAATACATTTTCTCAGGCACTTACTTTCATTCATTTAAATTTAATAGCTTTTCTTGGAAACTGTGCTAGTCTAAATTTGTATAGCCGTGGGTGCTCAAACTTTTATTTGATTGAATAAGTGTACTCTCGATTAAATCTCTTTCCCTAACTCAAGTGCAAACTACAGATTTCAAAATACATGAGTTGGCTTGACGCCGTTATATGAGATACAATAGGTTATTAGGTATGCGGTGCTTTGAAGCGATGGGATTTTATTCTTGTTGTGACGAATACGAGTAATTCAATTAAAATTCTTGGTCACACTCATTGAAAAAATGAAAAGGGGAATTCGGACAGGGCAGATGAGCGCTGTGATTTAACGACAGCTGTTTAGGACAGTTTAAAATATAGTAAATTATATATGATCGTATATGTACACACACAATTTTTTGAATGCAACCTGTAAACTTTAAAAGAAACAGGGTGTTTTCTATTTTTTCAATGAGTATAATGTCACATATATCCAGCAAAAAATTACTACAAAAATATACATGAAGTGCAGTAGTTTGTAGTTCTGATTACGTAGTTCTGTTCATGAATATCTTTAATTGAGAGTGTTTTTGTTATCATGATATGGGGTCATCTTTAAATATTTATCGACGTACCAATGAAAAGTGAAAAACATTAAGAGAAATATTTTTATTGTTTTAAAAACGGTATATCCTAATAGTTTATGTCAAATATTAATTTTTGGTCTATTGAATATACTTTGACTTCATATTAACTCTACTTTAGTCTACTTTACCCTATTTTACTCTACTTTGCTCTAAATTGCTCTACTTTGCTCTACTTTAGTCTACTTAACTCTACTTTAATTAGTTTAAAAGTTAAATAGATTTTTTAGTTAATTAAATAGATAAATTGATTATAAATAATTATAAATTATACATATGATAATAAATTGATAAATTAATAATTAGAATAACTGCTTGAGAAATTTGCGATCATTTTTAGAGAAAACCTCATTTCTTTAAAAAATTGTAAAATTAATTTATCAATACCTTAATATCTTAAAAAATTATTTATGAAAGAAATTTCCTTCTGCCATGTACTTTTTTTTTAAACTAAAATTCATAAATTCTCTAGAGAGTATGAAAAATAATAAACAAATTTATTATTATTTACTTCCATATGTAAATATTGTCGACAAATTGTAATAGCAAGCGACGACATCGATCGCTGTCAGCAATCGATGGTGTGTAAAGGGCATGCAAGGAACCGAGCTTTTTGGAATATTTCCAAAAACAGTGTGTATTTTACTTTTATTTTAGCTGTATACATAATGAATGTTACATAAATAATGGAAAGTAGTTTAGAAATCATAATTATATTGTTATCGGCATTAGATTTTATTCAAATTAAACAACATATCTGAAGAATATCTAAACAATAAGTTTTTCAACTGAAGTAAAAATATGGTCGAGATGACTTTATGCATTTATTATATTAATTTTATTTAAAATCCAAGTAACATTTAAGACAACATATATCAAAATAAAGTGAATTATTTTAGGTAATTCATAATTTCTATGTACCCTATTGAGTGAAGTAGATTTACTAATAATCACAGTAAATTTAATAGAGGATATCATAAAATATATCTCAGAAGAGGCAGACTTTCAAATTATGTAGTGAATGACAATAAAATAATGTATTTAAAATTACACATAATTTTATTTTCAAAATAAAATCATGAAAACCCTGTAAATTTAACGAGTATAATTGATCCCAGTTAGTTCTTTTTTATGGATATGTATGTAGATATCCATTAATATATTTATGTAGTTGTATTAATATATTTGCAAATGGCAACATTAGATGTAATTTGATTGCTCATTGTGTACGAAAAGTTTTGAGGGGACTCTCATTCGTTTTTGTAGGTAAGTTTGTGAACTGCAGCGCAGAGATGCAGTACAGCTAAGACAAGATTGTACGGATTTAGCAAAAGTCTGTGACTTGAACGACAAAATCTAAACAGTTTAGTTCAGTTTATATCCGCTTGGTTTAGATAAGTGATAGTTGAATCACTAAAATCGGAGAAATCGTAAATGTTGTAAAAAAAAGTGATATTAATATACTTCTCGGTGATCAGCTACATTCAACGACAACAAAATCGTTCCTTTTTTTTTTAAAAGTTTTGACTATTATAAGTGTAAACCAGCATTATGTCGGATATAGATAATATATTGACAAGTTTACAGCGTTTTTCATGGCTGGACTATGTCGTGTTCATAGCTATGTTTGTGATGTGCATTTTAATTGGAATTTATTTCGGTTTTATGAAAAAGTCCCTTTCGGAATCGGACTACCTAATGGGTGGTCGTAATATGCTCGTATTGCCTATAGCTTTATCACTTGTGGCTAGTTTTGTATCAGGTATAACACTACTAGGATTACCCACAGAAGTCTATTCATATGGCATACAATATACGTATGTTGCACTTGGTGTACTTGCTATGGGAGTCGTGATGGGTGTGTTCTACCTACCTGTTTTTCATAATTTGAGTATTACATCCACGTATGAGGTAAGTAATATTTTAAAATTCATTGTTGAAAATATTTTTAGTAATCATTAATATCAGCGCAAATAGTTGTATAGTTTATAATATGAATTATATAATACATGAATACAATTTAAAAAATGATCAAGAAAATAAAAGTAATTTACCTTTATTGAATAAATTTTGTAAAGTACTTTTTTTATGGCAGCTTCCATATTATTTTTATTATGTTATTCAGTTGAAACGTTTAACATTATATGTGTAATACTTATTTAACAATTGTAACACTGTCCAACAAGATTTTTAATCATAGCACTTTTACCAATTTTTAGAATCTTTAAAATTATTTCTATTAAGTGTGATTTAGAGTGATAATTTTTGGGGTTTTAGACATTTTTTGCAGTAAGTTTATATATCCTTGGAACCATGTAAATTGTATGGTAAATGCACAATATATACACTGTCACATAAAGAGTTGATGAGCACAATTTTAAGATATAGGTGAAGCTTAATAGTTCATTAGCTAATTAATAAAGTTAAATAAAATTTGTAAAAAGTCGAAATAAATTAATATCTAAACTAACACAGATATGTTAGACGCTCCTGGTCTGAAGTACAAACAGCTTGAACTTCGTCGGATAAATAAACAATCTAAAAGCAATAGATATTTAAAGTCTGTTGAAAGGTTTGATAGAATCAAATGATTTCGAAATTTTTATACATCAAAGTATATATATATATATATAGATAGATAGATAGATAGATTCGAGTATATACAGAAATACATTATAAAACTGGAAGGTGGCGACCTTAAATTCATCTAATACAATATATAAAATTTTTTATAATTCTTAGAAGTGTTTTTCCTTACAAGAAAATCTTTTGTAAGTTGCCAAACCTTTGGCCTAATCAATTCAAACATCTCATCACTTACACCTCTTAAATGTGCTGGGAATAATTCTATGTACGGGCACAGAAATATACTTTAAGAAGCATATAAATATTTATTTGCTTACTATATTCAGCCGCAAATTCAAATACTGAGAAGTATTTGTACTTCTCAATATTCTGAGAACTACTGTTCGCTGTTCTGCTTCTTCTTGATAACCACATAAAACTATATTTGGTGCTTATTGTTTATATGTTTGTGATTTGATGTCCAATAAATATGCCTTCCTAGATATCTGCCTTGTCTAGATTTTACTATTATTAAAACAATTTGCTTTAAAATATAGTTTTTCATGATCAATAACTAACTAAATGAACTTAAATTTACTTATACTTATATGAGTATTTAAAATGTGAACTCATTTAGTGAATTCATTGACAACCATAGGGAAAACTGCTTAAAACATTAAAACCAGTTTCAAATACAACTCTGAGGTTTAATTGCAATAAATCTAGTATCATAAATCGACTGTAATAGCATTCGCATTATGTTTATCACAATTCATGTCATATTATTAATAATATTTAATATTGTCATATTGGGTTTATCTTGGAAGTACTACATGATTTGGAATATACCATTTATTATATTACAATTGTGTGCAGATGAAGAAATTAAATGGTGAAATAAACTTTAAATCCATGTTCAATATTATTAATTCCTTAAATAGTTTATTATATGTGTTTACATTTTTTATTTATTCTCTTTTTAGTATCTGGAAAGTCGCTTTGACAGACGTTCACGAATGTTTGGTTCGGTTATGTTTACCATAATGAATGCAAGTATTTAAATTATTTAACTTCTTAATAATGTTTTAAACCAATTTATAATATATATTTTATAACTCAATAGATTGGTTACTTGCCGATTGTTATATATGTACCAGCTCTGGCTTTCAATCAAGTTACGGGCGTGGCGGTTCATACAATAACACCTATTGTATGCATCATTTGTGTTTTCTATACTAGTTTAGTAAGTAAAAAAAACTAAATTATACTATATAATACTAATAATAATAATAATACTAATAATACTATATAATAATATACTATATAATGGTAAAAGACCTTCCAGATATTATTGTCTAAGAGGGCCAAAATGAATCGATATTTAGTTGTTTATTTCTAAAAGAACTAACTAACTTATTTAAAAGAACAAAACTTTTAATTTTTATTGATGAATTTTATATATAGATGTATATATGTTATATACCATATATATTCATATTAAAATATATTATGCCATATGATATTAAAATATACATTTATAAATAATTCATATATTATATATTAGTTATTGTATATTAAGTTTTACATACATATATTCCAGTCTTAGTTCCTTAGTAATTATATTTTTTTATTTTTATTGTAGGGCGGTATTAAAGCAGTCGTATGGACTGATGTTGTACAAACGATTTCAATGATTGGAGCATTGGTATTAGTGGCTGTTAAGGGTAGTCTGGATATCGGAGGAGCTGGTGTCGTGATCAAAGAGGCTTGGAATTCAGGACGCATTGAAGCGCCGGAGTTCGTTGAGAAACTTAAATAATGAAAAAGTTTGAAAAACTTACTAATATATCATTTCATATTTAGTCTCGATTTAAATCCAACAGTGCGACATACACTTTGGTCTCAGCTAATAGGAGGTGTCGTCTATTGGACGCAAACTAATGCTGTGTCACAAAACATGATACAACGGTATTTGTCGTTACCTACATTAAAGTCCGCTAGACATGCGTTATGTATTTTTTGTGGTGGGGTTCTCTTGCTAATGTCGCTTTGTGCCTATAACGGTCTGCTTATATATGCAACATATAAGGATTGCGATCCGTTGACGACTAAGGTATGATATGGAAAAATTAACAGAAGACATTGTGTGTAGTGCAATAACGCACTATGAAGATACGATCTGTATGCATAAATTTTACTCCCTTCGATTTTATGAACAATACTTTTACAAGCAACCCGAAAAATATCTGCTATTCTTTTTAACTTAATTATTATAAACAATTTTTTTCATCGAACAATTTCAAGTAGTTTTCAAAATGTAAAGAAACAATTGTCACAATATAGTTGAACATTTGAACTTATAAAAGGATATTATGAAGTCAAAATGGCATTGAGCGAGAAGTTGGAGGCTTATTAGGAATGTCATATGGAGTCAAAAAACAATTAAATATGTTATATAGTATGAAAAACATATATATAAATATAATATATATAAAATATATATAAATATATATAGAAGAAAAACAGTTTATAATATATTACGACCTGATATACTCGAAAACGTTAACCTTATATGACCTCACGTTGACCTTAATAGCTAAAAATTGATTTCGTAAAATAAATTAACTTTTATTTGTCGTACTCGTATCCGAATCTCGATATAGACATTTGCAATTCATAAAAAAACTGATATGAGTTACAGAAACATTAGATACTTCTATATACAATGCATTTTTTAGTTATTCGTAAGAAGTTGAAATTGTTCTTGATATATTTAAAGGATGAAGTATTCATGATCACATCCAAATCAAATAAAAATTTTAACACTACAATTTAAAAAAAAATATGTCCTCGCTGAAGGTATTGAACTACGGACCTTGGATTTTATATTTAATGGACTAACAATGAAGTTTAGACGAATACCTTTATAAATTCATTGAATCATATTTAAGTAATCAAATCCAATAACAAATATAAAATATATATATATATATATTTCTATTTATAGTTAGCCAAGGCTCGTGACCAATTGTTGCCGCTTTTTGTTATGGATACTTTAGGCGAGTTACCAGGTTTGACAGGACTCTTTATTGCAGGCGTCTTTAGTGCGGCTTTGAGTTCTTTATCCACATGCTTGAATTCCATGTCTGCAGTGGTTTTGGAGGATTTCGTTAAACCATTTGTAAAGAAACCACTTTCAGAGAAAGCGATCAATTGGATTATGCGTTTGGTTGTAGTGGGTGTAGGTGCACTCTGTGTTGCTTTGGTGTATGTGGTTGAGCATATGGGAACTGTTTTACAATTAACAATGAGCTTAGAGGCTATCACAAACGGACCTCTATTTGGCATATTTACAATTGGTATATTTATGCCTTGGATAAATGGCAATGTAAGTATAATCTTATTTTACATTAATTTTATATATATTACAAATATTTTCTATATTAAACTTATGTTTCTTTCGGAGGTAAATATTTTGAGAAATAATATCTTGGATTTAGAAATACGATGTTAAAAATAGATATTAATAAAA